GAATCTTCGCTTTGATGAAAAGGTCAATGAATTTGGCTTTTCTAGGAGTGAAGATGAATCTTGTGTGTATGTCAAGGCTAGCAGGAGTATAGTTAGCTTTTTGGTATTGTATGTGGATGACATATTACTCATACGAAATGACATCCCAACTCTGCATGAAGTTAAGTAACTGTCTTGGGAAGTGTTTATCTATGAAGGACCTAGGAGAAGCTGCCTATATTCTAGGGATAAGGATCTTGAGAGATCGAAGTAAAAGACTAATTGGACTTAGTCAGAGTACCTACTTGGATAAGGTGCTGAAGAGATTCAGCATGCAGGACTCCAAGAAAGGAGAGTTACCCATCTAGAGTAACGTCAGATTGAGTAAGACATAAAGCCCTAGCACTGAGGCTGAGATAAGATAAATGATTCGAATACCTTATGCTTCGGCTGTAGGATCGATCATGTATGCTATGACGTGTACTCGACCTGATGTAGCCTTGAGCATGGTTAGCAGGTATCAGGGGAACCCTGGCAAGGCATACTGGACTGTAGTAAAGAATATCCTCAAGTACCTACGTAGGACTAAGGACTGGGTCCTTACCCTCAGTGGCAGTGATGAATTGAGAGTTGTACGGTATAGTGATGCTAGTTTCCAGACTGATAGGGATAATTTCCGCTCTCAGTCGGGCTGGGTCTTTACCCTAAACGGAGGAGCAATTTCTTGGAAGAGTTTCAAGCAAGAGACAGTGGCTGATTCAACTTGTGAATCAGAGTATATTGCAGCTAGCAAGGCGGAAAAGGAGGCAATATAGCTGAAGAACTTCATTAGAGACCTTGGAGTTGTACCAGCTATTAACGAGCCAATGGAAATTTTTTGTGATAGTGAAAGCGCTGTTGCCTTATCCAAGGAACCAAGGGATCACGGGAGATCCAGACACATCGACAGAAAATACCATTTTATCAGACATCGAATAGAAGAAGGACTCCTCGTGGCAAAGAAGGTATCATCGGATGAGAACCCAGCAGATCCCCTCACGAAGGGACTGACTCGGGTTAAGCATCTCCAGCATGCTCGGAGCATAGGGCTGAAGGATGATATTAGATTTAGTAGTTAGATAGCCTCAAAATTTGTAAAGTGTAATTGACATTAGATGATGAATAAAAGGTGTTTTATTTATGAGTAAAGTGTTGCTATCTCTTTTCGATCGTTTACTATATTTCTTTTGCATGTTTTAACTTCCAGAATAATTTTGTTAGGTATAACATATTATTCAAACCTCCACAGTCGGTCATATGTCAGAAGTAGGTATGAATCAAGACTGTCATGATTGGTTGCAGAGGTATACGGTGTTGGACAAGGCTACAACAATCATGAGTGCTCATAAGTTCTGAGCATTGGACTCAACCCACGCTCACTGGAATCACTTCATGGAATTCCATCTCGAGTGATCGTGAGACGGTAATATCATATAAGTCTTCAAACCTAGAGATATGATTTGTTACTTACAAGTAGGTTATGCATTGATTGTACGAAAACTCATTGGTAACTCGATTTATAAAACGTGCTTTTGTGTATAATTCAATGAGTGGTAGAACAAACATATGAGTCGAAGTTTATCTGTTCCTTCTTGGATTAGAAGCCGATATCTGGGCCCCTCGATGATTTTGTTTTGACCTATGTACCGGGCCCAGTCAGAACTAAGTTGATGTGTTCAATTAAGTTCTTTGTCAAACAAATCGGAAATTGTGAAACAAACTGTTGGACAATAAGTAAGACATTGTTCCATGTACTTGTTCGGCTGATATCTAGAACAGAGGATTATATGATCACTTATCTTAAATGGCGTACCTTCATCTTCTCAATTCCGAGAAACCTTGAAAAGAGCTACGATTTCCGATCGGTTCCTGATGTTATACTTGCAGTAATAGTTATTAGACTTATCCAAGTGGGAGACTGTTGGATAAGGTGTCTAAGTCCATAACTATTTCTGGTATGTACTTGACCCGACCCGGCATGGTCCATTTGGGTTCCATGGCACCATGCAATTGGATAGACTAAATGAGAGAAATAACATTTGGAGATTATTAATATATTATAAGTTCTAATATATTAATAATATTATTTGATTAGGTTCATCAACAATTAATTAAGTGATCAAAAGATAACTAATTAAATATATGGGTTGATTATGTAAATCAACCATATCTTGTATGGTGGGCTAAGAGGCTCCATGGATTATCAAGTTGGGTTCCACCCATAGGATGCTCCATGGATGCTCCATCGGAGTTACAAACCTATGGGTCATGGAAATGAAGACTCATGACACATTAGGGTTTACATGGTGTAACCCTAGATGTGTCAACACTGTATAAGAATCCCATTCACCACCAAAATCAGTTACACATATGAAACAAGAGGGCTAGGCCGATTTTAAGAAGTGTGTATTCTCTCAAAAGTCTTTACAAGAGCATTTGGTGTTGTGTGAAGCATTTGAGGCATCACACTTAGTGTGCTAGGCTCACAAGGTTTCAAGGAACATAAGCAACAACAAGGTAAGTTATTCTATCTTTCATTCAAGTTAAAAATTGTTCCCCATGTATGCTAGATAGGAATATAACCTTGGAATTCAACTTTGCATGATAATTAGACAAACATATATCCAAGGTTATCAGGGTTTCATGTACACTTAGGAAGTGTTAGAATGCTCAAAACCCATCAGAAACTTAATATATTGTTTTGTCCTCGGTAACACTCCATAGAGATACGCGAGTGGAGGATAATAGATAGAACTTTTGTATTGTCCTTAATAAAACATCCCCAAGACACGAGTGTGAAGGACAGGTATCATTGGAAATTAGTCAAGTCTTAGTTAGTACTCCTCCTAGATACGAGAGTAAAGAATCAATAGAACAGGATTTCCGTATTGATATTTTCAGTTTTAAATTCATGAATCTTAAGATTGGAGACACGTCCTTTGGAACACTTCCCTAGACACGAAAGTGGAGGACTATTCTTGTAACCAGAATCTCCGGAAAGGGGAGAGTGTGACTTGGGTGTATAGATCTATACGGGACTGACTATTCCGCACCTGGCTGCTAGCTATAGCCGAACCGAAAGGTTCAAGGGTGATAAAATTCATAAAAGATATTGGCCCCATCACAGGTCATATCTAGTCTGTAGTATGGTTATGAAACTCGCAATCAAGATTATGAAAACTTTATACTTATTTATTAGTTTTATATACGTCTTAAAACTAATGTACATTTAAAGGTAACCAAACTTTCAGGAAACTTCGCACACACACACCTTAAGTATGGTAGATACTTGTACGTTACTTTCAGATTCGATAACACTTCACAAACATTTTAGGAAAATATAGGATTTTCCTGGGATAACAATTGAACATGATCAGAATCGTACAGTATAACAGTTAACCAAACATTACTTTTAAGAAAATATGGGATTTTCTTGGGTCGTAACATTTTCAGAAACTAAAAGGAAACTCGTACATTTTCAGAAGACAAAACCGCTTATGAACTCACCAGCTTTATGCTGATTTTCAAACTGCTTGTATTCTCAGGTCCGCATTAGACAGGTACCTAGCTATCCTTTTGGTGAAGACGGAGTACGTAGAAGACACGTCTAAACTTTTGTTTATATATACATATGTATCATTACTTGTACAACTTTACTGTTGAACAAATGTAAATTTTAATATGTAATGTAATGGTTGTTTACTTTGCTTACTATGTACATTGGTTGCGATATTCATGACGTCCTCCACCCTGAAACGTTTCCGCCTTCGGTTTCGGGGTGTGACAAAAGAAATCCTCTCTACTCCTCTAAATTTTCGAAATTAGTGGGAAGTTTCAAGAGGATCTTCACCTAGATCATCATCTTTGGTAAGTTTTGTTTAGATCTATAATTTAGCTTTTGATCTCTTGTAAGTCCCAAATCTAATGATCTAATTCAGTAATCAATGAATTTGATTGCAATAAAGGAGAGATGTAGAAGAAGAATAACTAAAATCAAGCATGCACACATCTATTGCCAGTAAATGTGAAGTACATCTTGAGAAAAGTACTACTACTACAGAGTTCTGACTCAAAACCAAAAAGTACAAACTGACATAACTCAGTTGCTTTAAATAGTACCCCTCCTACCAGCACAAGAGCTGTACACACGTGTGCGGCCGGACACACTGTGTGCGGCCGCACACACATGTGTGGCAACACACAATACAAGTTCAAAAACAATCACTGCAAAACTGACACTATCACTTATACAAAATGGTGCCTAGCTCAAACCACAAAATTTTTTCTTTCAGTCTCCCCCTTGGTTTGAGACTAGCATAGTCTTGTCTTCACTCCTTTGGCTCCTCAGCAGGCTTCTCAAATAACCTCAGATCTGATCTCCCCATCGATCCCATCCACAATCTTTCGTTTATGATCATAGCCACCATTGCAGTGAATTCTTTAGCAGCAGCTTCCATGACATCTTTTCTTCAAATGATTTGATGACGTGCCAGAGTTCGTATATCCCTTTCTCTTAAACGAATAAGATCTTTAGCACTAATCAATCTCAGAACATGTTCTCGATTCTTGAATTTGATAGCTGTAGTAGCAGTTTCATCATCATATGCCCAAAATTCCATATCATCTAGATATCCCTCATGAAAATGTTGAGGAATAGGAATTTCCTTTTGTTTCTTAGTTGCAGACCAGAGTATAATCTTCATGGGTTCGCCTGATTCTGGATCAAGAACAACTTTGTCTTTTCTATATAGAGCTTTTGTAGTCTTCATTGATGGAAAGTTTTCTTTGACCTGTCTGTCGAGAAATCTTTTGAAATTTGAAGCATTAGGATCTTTAGAGGGGTTATAGAATGGGGCCCTAGATAATTCAGCTAGATCAGTTTTGGTCCAAGTGTTGAAATCATGGGTGCTTTTTTAACATTCAGATGCTCCTAATTTTCTCTTTACAACCCACAAATTCATCACTGGATCAAAGGCCCACATTCAGATACATGTCCTGTCACCATACTCATCACCGAACTTTCTTTTCTTCAAATCCATTACTGTTAAGACAGGGTCTCTTGTTTTGCGATTTTCATTAGAATTTTTCATGAATAAAAGGCCTTTACTTTGATTTGCAGTTACGATTCTTTTTCCCTGTTTGATTGTGCTTCTGGCTCTGCTTCCTTCTAGTTCTTTTTCAAACCTATTGACAATTGTAGTTGTTCTTGGAGCAGGTGGGTTGACATGTAGATCATTATTTGCAGTACGTGATTGAACAGAGGGATGATCAACAACTCCATGAGGCTGTTGGAAGAGGACTTTGACTTTTTCACCAAAATCATCGTACAATACGTTCTTGAGATTGAAATAATTAGCTAGAACAGATCCAAGACTCGTTTGTAGATCATTGATTTGTTTGGTCTTTTCTTCATCCTTTTCCCCGAGCTCAAAGAGGTGTCCAGAAAGCTGATCCATCTAAATTGACTTTTCGATGATTTGTTGACGGAGAATTCCAATTTCCTCTCGGAGATCAGGTGAAGAGGATTTGTCATCATCTGTCCGACCCTTGTTAAATGATATTCCTTTCCCGCGTGAAGAGGTTGGACTAGATTGAGCCAGATGTTTTACTAATCTAATAGAAGCTTCATCTAGAGAAGGTCGAGTTGGAGAATATTCTGGAATGGATGAGGATCCACCAGTCTCGAACATGGTACTTGGACCTTCATCAGTTTGCTTTGGAGGAGAGTGAGCAGAGGTAGCAGTGATTGTTGAAATAACTTGAGGAGCACATCTTACAGAGGGTACCTCCAGACTTTCAAGAGATTGGCTTGTTTTCATCGAAGTCTGAGAAGTCTGAGGTTCAGATAAGTCAGAAATGACTAGAGCAGATGTTGAGACAAGTGACACAGAGGGAGGAATCTCTGATGTCACATCTCCTTGGCTTGTTGCGACCTCCAAGGGCTTTGAAGTAGAGAGTAGAATTTTGAGAAAATTTCCTTCATCTCTAGTCTTGGTTGCTAAAGGAGCAACTTCATTGACTTTATTTACACGGTTGCTGGGAATATCAAGAAAAGGATCAAAATCCTCATCACCAAAATCAAACTCTATGTTTGTTGGAATGTCGTCATTGATTCCCGTAAAGTCCATTTCTTTCAAAAACTCCACATCTTCATAAAGATCATCGTCATCATCCTCTCGAGAAGATTTTGAATCATTTGCTTTCTGATTATCATGCTCATCAGCTACATAAGTTGTGGGAGAGTCATGAATCTCCTCTACTTCAGGCTCGGAGGGAGAGTGAAAAATATATTCATTTTCCATCGGCATGGATTGTTCATCTGATTCTTCTCTAACATCCTCTTAAAAAATTCCAAATTTTATTAATGGAAATTTTCCTTCAAATACGAACTTCCCGCCTTTCTTTTGTTTCATTAATCCAAAGGCACTTGGACCAATGGATTTGAAATCCAGAGTATCATTTCCTCTCTGCAGCGCGGGGTGAGTTACGTTAAGGATGATTTGTAAAAATCATGGATACATCCAAAATTTGTCTCTTTTGTTCTCTTCAAGATTTATTATCATTTCATTCATTATAAATTTTGAGAAATTGAACTCAAAACCTGTCGCCAATGCTGCAATGGCACCAGTGTTGGCCAGAGAAATCTTGTTTGCTCCTGATCTCTGCTCAGAAATGCCGCTCACGAACACATGAGCCAAAAGCTTCCAGCATGGAGGAAGCAGCTTCTTGATTGTAGGAGGAAATGTTCATTCGTATCCCATATGCTCTAAGATTTCCTCAATTTTATGAACGTCAATCTCCATGGGGTACTCAGGTCTGTCCTCAATTTGGAGATATTCTCTGATGATGCTTTCTGTTACTTGAATTTTCTTGTCTTTGATGGTTGCTTCCACAAATTTTTCACCTTGATCATTCTTCTTTACAACAGCATTCCTCCAGAAATCCTTAATCAAACTTTGGTAGATAGTAGGATTTGTAGTTAGGGCATGAACCAAGCAGGATTTCTTCAAACCATCCACAATGAATTTCAAGTCATTGTGGGCTGCAGGAGGGTCTTCAAGAAAAATTGTTGAATTGTGGACTTTAGCAAACTCCATGTCTCCCATTTTAATCTGAAAGGCAACACGCAAAATTATTAGGGCAAAACTATGAGAATGATGTAGCCGCACACGGAGTTACACACAGCCGCACACACATGTGTGTAGCTGTACACGGTCAGCCGCACACGCTCATACATAAAATAATGTGGCCGCATACGATCAGCCGCACACGCATGTGTGCAGCCGCACACACCGTGTGCGGTTACCCTTGAAGACAAACAATTTTGATGAAGATTCAACAGAAAACTATGGAAAATTTTGTGATTACAATCGAAAAATGAGCCGTGTTCATGAGAATTACCCAGTAAAGGCTTTGATTTCACAAAAATTAATGGAATATTTAAGGAGTTTGAGAGAGAAATAGGTGTGTGTGTGGTTGAGGCAAGAAACAGTGACGATAAAAACGTCACTGCACACACACTATATATATACACAGAATTTTCATTTCCTTCCCCTTATCTTTTAATCATTAATGCAAAAGCCCCTTTCACTCACCATTTTCTCAAAAATGAATTATTTTGAGGATTAATAAGAGATTAATTTCAAAATTCCTAATAAAACAAAAACAAAAAAAATAAAAATAAAAAATAGGAAATAAAATAGAGTAGAATAAAATGAAATTGGAAATACTATTAACGACAAGGAATAAAAAATCAATTTAAACCTATATAAATTGTTTTAACCTATTGAGGTTTTGGGATCACAGTTTTTAGATAGCCATTATCCGCTTGTCGGTACCTTTCATATTCACATCCTTGTCTGGTCGATTGTCGGAATTGTTGTCCACTTAAACACAAAAAATTGTGACAAAATTCGGACACACTATGAGTGCAAGACAATGTGATCCTAAATTCCTAGATATTATATTTAAACCTATGTTTCTGGATACTATATCTTAAGGACCATTCAGCTGACGATGACCAGGGATATTGATTTCCAGCTAAATTGAGCAGCGAGATCTATAGACAATCTTTGAGTGTTCAATTTTAATTGTACTGGAACATGTGTCCCGCTTCCTGATATGCCCCAGCCATCAATAACTTCCAGAGTACTCCTTACACCGGATGAGCAGACAATCATTCAGAGAGAGGATAGATTCAGAATTTTATTACTTATTACTTATTACTTCAGAGGGGTTGAGAAGTAGAAGGTTGCATATGCTGTGTACCAGGTCGAATTAGAAGTCGCGCAGAGGAGACAACATATGGCTAACAGATAAGAAGTCCTTCACATATATAACCAGCAGAGAAATAGAGTTGCATATGTTGTGTACCAGGTCGGATTGGAAGTCACGCAAAGGAGACAACATATGACTAACAGACAGAAAGAAAGAAAATTATATTCTACAGACCTAATTTATCGGAATTTACTAGTCGCCCCATCCAACCGGAATTAAGGACAGAATCCACACATCGAGGAAAAGTTAAGCCATGGTTCCGACGAGTAGATTCCCATATATATCTCCCTGCTCAACCTATCAAAGCGTCGTATTGTCAGGCTAAACGGAACTATCTAGGTCAAGATTTGTCAAGTCATTTGATTTCCTAAGTTTAATTTTTCCGAATCAAGTCCATTTAGAATCTTTCGTGCGTACCGACACATCAAACCAGAGCATAGACCCTTCAACTTTGGGTACGTTACGCAGACTCAGGTTGCCTGTTATCACATTATTATATCACTTCCCAAAACATCTCCCTCAAGCATAATAAATTTCTATTTTCTGATTTTCTAATTTTTTTAATGTTTTTGGATTTTCTAATTATTTTAATGTTTTTGGACTTTTCTAATTTTTTAAAAATGTTTTTGGATTTTCTAATTTTCTCCCCCCTAAATTTGTGCATAAAAAAATAAAATAAAATAAAAAATGCGCAAATTTATTCTAAGAAGAACAAAAAAAAATCCTCAAAACGAATCATTTTTAGAAAATTAACCAGCACATCGAATCGAGCTTTGTTAAATGGCTTGGTGAATAGATCTGCTACATTATTATCAGAGCGGACATGTTCTAGCCGAATGAGCGAACGCTCATAACATTCTCTAATAAAATGAATCTTGATGTCGATGTGCTTGGTTTTTGAGTGCTGGCCGGGTTTTTGGCAATTTGGATCGCAGCCTCATTATCACAGAAAATAGAGGTTTCTTGAAAATTCAAATCGTAGTCCAACAACTGATGTTGGATCCAAATGACTTTAGAACATCAAGCAGATGCAGCCACATATTCCGCTTCTGCTGTTGAGGTTGAGATTGTGTGGTGCTTCTTACATTGCCATGACACCAGTCTATCTCCTAGAAATTGGCATCCTCCTGAAGTCAATTTTCTATCAAGCTCACACCCCCCATAGTTGATGTCAGCAAAAGCATAAAGATCAAATTCGGGATTTTTCGGATACCAAAGACCTAGTTTTGGGAACCCTTTGAGATACCGAAAAATCCTTTTAACAGCAATTAAATGAGAGAGTTTAGGATTAGCCTGGTAGCGAGCACATTGATAGACCGCAAACATGATGTCTGGGTGACTAGCAGTCAGATACATGAGTGATCCGATCATTGATCGATAATGAGTCTGATCTACGGATTCACCCTCAATATCAGGAGTCAGAAGAGGTCGTTCCGCCATGGGTGTAAGAGCAGCTTTTGCGTCTCGAAACCCGAACTTCTCCAGTACATCATCCACATATTTTGCTTGATGAATAAGGATTCCGGCTGAAGATTGTTGGACCTGAAGCCCCAAAAACGTGGTCATTTTCCCAAGCGAACTCATCTCGAACCGCTTCTTCATCACTGCTTCAAACTCTTTGCAAAGCTGATGGCTTGTCGACCCGAAAATGATGTCGTCCACATAAATTTTAACGAGAATTTGATCTAGACAGACATGTTTGAGGAATAAGGTTTGATCAATGGTACCTCGGGAACAGCCATGGGGTAGCAAATCCTGAGTTAGAGTAGCATACCAAGCTCTAGGAGCTTGATGCAATCCATACAAAGCTTTGTCTAACTTGTAAAAATGGTTGGGAAGGGTTGAGTTAACAAAACCAGGTGGTTGGTCAACGTAAATCTCCTCCTTGACCTTGTCGTACAAGAAAGTCGTCTTGACATCCATTTGGTATACAGTGAAGTTCATGTATGAAGCATAAGCAAGGAAGATACGAATGGCTTCCAAACGAGCAACCGGAGCATAAACTTCCGTATAATCAAGACCCTCACCTTTCCGAAACCCTCGAACCACCAATCTTGCCTTGTTGTGCACAATAACACCTGAATCGTCTTGTTTATTTCGAAATACCCAACGAGTATCAAGAGATTTATTTCCTTTTGGTAGCTCCACTAATTTCCAAACACCGAGTATCTCAAATTGATTTAATTCATCATGCATGGCTTAAACCCAGTTGGTAGAGAAATGCCTTAACATCCTCACTTTTACTTCTCGTTTGAACACTGTCGCCCAGCTGGCTAATGACGTTCTCTATCGGATGATCACACAGAATACGTGTAGCGATCTGATAGCTGATATCATTCACAGAAACAGGAAGATTATGAATATTAACCACTCCATCATTTGTTGTATGATCCGTAGAGGATGAACAAGGTTCGTTTGAAGGATCTGCTACAAACTCTTCAGCAATATTTTCTGGAAAGAGAAGTTCCATCAGATTTGAAGTTACCGCGGAAGTCTCGTGGTTCATGAACTCTCTTTCCATCGGAGTTAAAGGAGTAGCAATAGCATCAGGAGAAGGTTGTTGAGGAGACTCAGAAGATTCAATGTGAGCGGAGGGTACCAATGGAGGATCAAAGGAAATCAGTGGTGGTCGGTAGACAACTTCATCTTCTTCGTCTTCAATAGGAATCTTCGAATTGGATGTAGATCCTTCTTGATTATTTGAAGACACATTGAATGATTTGAAAAGAGATGTGTAGTTAAATAACCAATCGGGACCCACTCTTGCATCTATCTCATTTTCCTCGAACCAACGAACATCAAAGGATTCTACAATCTGTTTAGTCTTCTTATTGTAAACCATGTACGCAGTTCGAGCAACATATCTAACAAAGTAACAGTCATCGGCTTTGGCATTGAGTTTGGGGTTGGATTCCCAGTGGAGAAGGGTGCAAGGGCATCCAAATACTCGGAAATGACTGACAGATGGCTTGTGTCCTAATATAATCTCATACGGTGTCTTCATTCTGGCTTTGTTGATCAGCACACGATTCTGAACATAACACGCGGTGTTAATCGCCTCTGCCCAAAAGAATACAGGAAGCTTGGAATCACATAGCATCGTCCCTGCGGCATCTTTTAGAGTTCGATTCTGACGTTCGGCAACCCTGTTTTGTTGAGGTGTTCAAACAGAACCGAACTAACGCACAATCCCTTTCTCAGTGCAAAAATGATCAAGAACAGCGTTCTTGAACTCTGTTCCATTATCGGTACACAACGCTTTCACTCGATTGTTAGTCTGATTTTCGATCATCACAATGAATCTTTTGATGAGGTCAGCAATTCTAGCTTGGTTAGACAGAAAGAAAACCCAAGTGAAATGAGAGTAATCATCTATCACAACAAGGCAGTATGAGTTACGATTGATGCTTAGAACATTAACCGGACCAAATAAATCCATATGCAATAACTCGAGCACTTGACTTATGGAATTTATCTGCTTTGGAAAGTGTGGTTTCCGATGATGTTTTCCCTGAGCACATGAAACACATTTTTCAAAAGTAATGAAGTCTTTCGTGGGTAGCCCGCAGACCAATTAATTTTTCTCAAGCCGATTCAAGTTCTTTACATTTGCATGACCGAGATGATGATGCCACAACATTGCATTTTATTCAGAAGCTTTGGAGAAGAGACAAGTGACTTCATCAGGAATATTGATGTTCATGTCTATAATGTAGGCATTTCCATCCCGCTTAGATCTTACAAGAATCCAGTCTTCAGGGATGACAACACCAGGCTTTAAGATCAGACACTCCTTATCTGTGAAATGAGTAGAGTAACCCTTATCGCA